GGGTACCAGCTCTGATACCAGTGCAATCAGACTCGCTCACTTCTTCGCTTCGCATGCCTACAAACAGATGGTGATTCACACTGGCGCATAGCGCCCAACTCAAAGCTCAGAGATATGGAAGCCAAGAACACAGTTCAGATGCAAACTCGCTTCAACAGGCTATGGTGCATCAGCACCTATACATCCCAACTCTCGTTACTGTGTCCAACACCACTGTTGGCTCACACTTCAACTCTGGATCACCCTGGATACCCCACCCTGCATACATGCAGGCATTATCTACTAGGTCACCTCTTCAAAGTCTACTGACTCTACTCAAATCATTGGGCACTACAGTGGCTGAAAATGCAGCCAAAGCTATTAGATAATCCGGCAAGATGTCTGGATACATTGAACTTTTTGACTTTGAAATTTGAATTGATGCACATGGAGGGGAGGGGCAACAAGGTTGGAGATGCACTCTAGAGGAGGTGCGATTACGTGGGAGGTGTGGCATCAAAGTGGAGAGTCAGCAATAGTCTGATTGAGAGAATTGCAGGAGGATATGCAGTTGATCCTGTATATTCTTAGATCATCACAGATGTGGATGCATGCAGATCCAGGTTCTGCGCCAGATTACAGGTCTGCTGTTCGTTGGAGAGAAGGGGAGTGTAGAGGCAGATCCAGGTTCTGCATTGGATTACAGATCCGCTGTGCGTGGGAGAGAAGGGGAGCGTAGAGGCTGTGTGCCTTCGCAGCAGAAGCGAAGCACAGAAGTTTGTGGCAAATGCCATGACACACAGGGACACTTCGGGTTTAAGAGGACTTATCTGAGACTCCTGGAGCGTTTCTACGGGCCTACGATGTGTGCAGTGAACCCAATCCTGTTGAGAAGCCAATCAGCAATGTAACACAAATCTGAACCCAGCGCTCAACATGAAGTCTCCAAAGTCCTAAACTTTGTGGAGACCGTCAGCAGCTCGATCACATTGGCGACAGGTAAGTCCAGGTAAGCTTCCCCTTGAAACTCCAATCAATCTCACAGCCCGGTTGCTCCTCCTCCTCCTCCTCCTCCTCCTCGCCCAACTCTCCAGCTACAGCTATGGCGGCTATGGTCACTCCAACATGTCCTCCTACAAGGCTGGGGCCCTCCAGCAGCATCTGGCGCCAGCATGTCTGCTCCCCAGCCTTGCGTGCAGCAACTTGGCCACGAGCCACAGCAAGGCAGAACGAGCCTCCCCTTGGCCTCGTCTTCTTCTTATAGTGTTGACTGGCATTGACCAGCCTCCCATTGGACCGTGTTGACGTCCGGGATTTTTCCGAAATCGACGGCCTGGATGCGATGCTGTGCCAGATGTACCTTGTCCCTGTTGGAACTGGAATCTTCCGGAAACCTGCAGACAACCTTTGATGTGCATCTGGTCTACAGCCGTGGTTGGCTACTGGGAGACTTTGACTTCGGACCTGCATCTCCGGTGCTGGGTTCGACTCTTGATTTTCCAAGAGTCAACTACCTGGCGTGGGGGTACTGGGTGCAGCTTTCGTTTCAGGGCCTCGTACCCCTTGACCCTAGGGACTTTGTCAGACCTCCACAGGATTCAGGACGTGACTTTTGAACCCTCTTTCTGGCCTTCGACGAAAAGTTACGACCCTGGCCTTGACTCATACGGATTTGAATTGAGTTTATTGCATGTGAATTGACTCAGTGGAATATGCCAGAAGTTGTGCGGTTTGTCAGCGAGCGAAAGGGGGTGGAATCAGTGACCTTGTGGGCATCTGAAACCTTTGCCTATTCCAGAAGGTCGTGAACAGTCCATACCTATGGACTTCGTGAGTGGATTGTTGGAGTCACAAGATATGAAGAATTCACTGTTCGTTATTCTTGACCGGTTTTCTAAGTTTGTCAGGCTGGTACCGATTAAAAACCGGCGTGCTTCAACAAACGAGATGTCAAAATTTTTTTAATTTTCTGCAACACTGGGCCGACGTTCGTAGTGACAGGAACGCCCACTTCACGAGCGAAACGTGTGAGACTGTGATGAAGTTTGCTGACATTGAATTGGAAATTGAGTTCTGCCGATCTCCCGCAAAGTGTCCAATTAATTTGATTGGTCAAAATGAGCACACAAACTATGTGGTTCATCAGGTACAGTGCCATTTGATCGGGCCCAATCAAATTAAATGGGATAAGAATCTATCCAAAAGGGAATAACATCTACAGCTCCTCATGGCACTCAGCTACAGCCAGGACATTGGATGAGCTAGCTTCATTTTGGGTGGAAACTGTGAGCATCAATTTACTCTCTGCTCGAACAACCGTAGAGTATGGGTTCAGCTACACGAGCTGCTCGTGCAAGGATCGGACGATCTGTTGGTTGTCAGCTGGCCTCCCTCAGTTCACAGCCCCGATTTTCTTCCTTTGCCTCCCAATGTTCCTGATTCACGTTAGTACTCCTCATCTCTTGCGATAAGCCAGATCGCATTAACGTCACACACAACACCGGTTTACTACTCTCTGTTTTCGAATTTGCAGGACAAGTATGCTCCTGGAGCTTCAGAGTTCACAGTGCAGAAGGCGCAGGAGTCCACGACCACAGAGGTAAACAGACACCGCACAACTGCAGCATGCCGAGACGCTGAAATCGTTCGAGTCAGCATGGATGAATTCGTCTCGGAAGGAGGGAGGCCAGGAAACTGCTGCTGAAGTGGTGTGGGCCATGGGAAGTGTTGAAACTTGAAAGTGATTGGCGAAGAACCCGGTGGGCCATCTTACTTGATTGATGTATCGCCCTATCTGAGGTAACTTGCCCCTGTGTTCCATGCTTCCAAGCGGATGCCATTCACACCATTACGATGTGAAGGTTGAAGGAGCATGCATCCTCCTGCGATGCCAGAAGAGCAGACGCAGAGAGGATTGTTGAGCATTGGTTTGTACAGGTGAGGAAGACCAGGCAAGATTTTCAGAGTTAGGTTTCAGTACTACCCAGAGAAAGAAGAAGATTTTAGGGATTAGCGGAGCCACTCTTATTAAGACTGCACCCAAGATCGTTGCAAAGTATTAGCAAGCCCTCCAGCAGCAGAGAGAAGGAGAAAATGTTGACGGCTGCAGACTTTGTGTATACACTTGCACTTGTATAGTAGTCTCAGATTTGAATGCATGTGTGGAATCCACAAGTGGTTAACAGGCACCCCCACTTTTCAGCCCCATGTTACCCCCCCCCCCCCTCTCCCTCTAGAACTGAAAAGTGTGTTTGGCCCGATTTGGGGGTAATGTTTTTCAGTTTTTTTCGGAACATTTTCCCGAAAAACTGAAAAGCGCGAATTTTGCATGATATCACACTTTTGCCTTGGGGTTTTAGGCCCCTGTGATCCATTTCCCAATTCCTCCCCCTCCTCCCCCCCTTTTTTTTTTTTTGCTGTTGGTTTATTTCGTGTCCACTTTATGGACAAAAGGCCTTGGATATTTGTTATAATGACCCTGAGAACACCCTCCTGAAAATTTAGGGCTCTGTTAACCGCTTCTCGTGAAAACTGAGTCAGATGAGTGGATTGGCAGAACCACTCTTATGGAGACTGCACCCAAGATCGTTGCAAGTATGAGCAAGGCCTCCAGCAGCAAAGAAGGAGAGCTGATGACAGCTTCCAGACTTTGTGTCTACTTGTATCGTAGTCTGAGATCTGATACACATGTGAAATCTGAGTGAAGTCTGTGTACGTAGCAGTGAGTGAGTAAAATGTATGTTACTATGTTCATAGAAAGGAGCGTCCAGCGTGGGCCTAGTAGCAGGGGGCTGTTCTTATCACCCCTCCAGACAGGCGAAGGCTGGTCTTCCAAAAAAAAAAAGAAAAAAAAAAAGAGGACTTCTAACCGAAGCAGAGGGAGTGTTGGGCTCAGGTGGGACGCAGCACCTGACCCAAATCCAAGGTAAGTGGGAAACGTTGTTCTCAGATTTGGATTAGGACTTTCTAACTACAAGAATATGTTCTCACTTCATGATCCAGGTCACCCTATAAAGTTAAACTCTGGTCAGGTTTTCTCTTCTAACCCCTGATGACAGAGTTTCATGGCATAACCTGATCCAGTTCTTGTAGTATTTTGTGTGTGCACTTATATCCTGCTGCGTTTCTCTCTCTCTCTCTCTCTCTCTCTCTCTCTCTCTCTCTCTCTCTCTCTCTCTCTCTCTCTCTCTCTCTCTCTCTCTCTCTCTCTGTGTCTGCCCCCATCAGATGGTACCATTGGGTTCCGGTACTTGGTGGCCGCTCTGTCCGGCCAATCCTGGACCGTATGGATGCCACGATAACATATGCCTTGAAGTTGAAGCAGGGTGAGGAAAGGTTACGTGCCTGTGGTACAGGGAAATCCTCCCATGGAGAGGGTGAGAACTTTTCTGGGAATAATGATGAGGAGATTGCACGTGGTGAGGGGCCGTTGGGAAATGGATTAGTCGCGAATGAAGCTTTGCCTGCCTACACATTGACAGATTTCATTCTTGAACTACGAGATCCGAGGGAAGGATCGCAGGCGCTTCGTAGACAGCCTTTGGCATCTACGCCGACTAACGTGTCCAAGTCGTTGGAGAGTGGGAACGGGAATGGTGGGACTTGGTCGAATGATGGGAACCTGCAAGAACAAGGCGATGACAGGCGTGTGGCGGTGGTGGCGCATTCTGCAGCTGGCTGGACTGCTCGGATACTCGTAAGTGTGTTGATGCCTTCCTTCTTCTTTTCTTTTTTTTTTTTTTTTTTTTTTCCTCTTCTTCTTTCTTTTTTTGAAAGGCCAATGGTCTTGAGATATCGTCATTGAACCGACCAACCCCAGGCAATTGCAGGGAAAATGAGCAATAGTGAAATGACAGAAATCCAGATTGCAAATCACAATGAAAGCCAGATAGCCGAACACTGTCCAGAAAGCAGAAATGCACTGATATGACACTGAAGGAGAACCAAAGCAGCGAACTCAAATGTCGATGAAAGCATATTCTCGCCACCACCATAAAATGCGGTCGGAGCTCTTTCTCCTATTGGCGCTCAGCGCCCAGTCTACAATCCTACAGCTATCCTATCAGCTATGAAATGACAAGCAACCCGTTGACGTCAGCAGCAGCAACCAAAGTACAAGCAGATGGCAACTATGCAGACCATCATCAGGACCAGGTACATGCCCTCACATCATCATCCTCATCTCCCCCTCTCTTGCTCACCCTCGACTCCTTCACTCACGTCTTTCCTTACACGAAGACCACCACCAGACCCCCGCTGACCTTTGTCCAAGCCAGCCTGGCTATGAAGACTGGCTATTGCGCTGCTTGGAAGCAGCACCCTGCTCTCCCTTGCACCCGCACACGCGCGAGCACCTCTGCCAGCTCCAGCAAGCAGCCCGCGAGCGCATGCTCCAGCAGCGCTGCCGTTTGCACAACCAAGTGCCCGAATGCCCAGCCAGCAGCCCAGCACTTTCCTATATGGAAAGTGGCTGGTCTCCTCCAGTTGCCTGGCTTACTGGACCGAGTTTCCAGTAGCTTCCAGTCAGGCCAAAGTGTCTGCGCCCAGGCCCCATTCAGACCCTGGCCTGGGCCCGCAACAGTTAAGTGTGCCCCAACCGTCAGTCGTGACCAAACTGTTCCTTGCTTCATGAGTGGCTGAGAGGCCGTCTTCCGTCTTCCAAGTTCTTCCAGGAAAGGCCTAGAAGGCCAGCAAGATGCTGTTGTTCACGGGCTTGGCTCATTCAACCAACTGGCGCGTGGAAACCGCCGGCAGCAGGGCCTCTGTAATTTCAAATTTGAGGCCCCTGTTGAAAATAAGGGCCCGCCTTCACTTAGGGTGGGCCAATCACCTGGAGCAAGGCCTGGAAAAGCCAGCGGATAGGCCGCGTCGAAGATCCCAACGTGCTCTGCTTCGGTCCTTTAGCCTGATCAGATAGGCCTTTAAACAGGCGTAGGCGCATGCTTGTAGGCCCGCCTTCACTTAGGGCGGGCAATGCCTGTCGAGACACTGCCGAGGAGCTAAATCCTCGCACAATTCAGAGTTATTTTATTCTGTTCATTTGGTTGCATCGGGACTTGAACTCCGGCCTGCATTTCAACGGTTTATGGGTGTACCTACTGAGCTAGGCCCGTTCGTATGTTGATGCCTTCCTGGACTGAGTCGAATCTCAGAAACGTAAATTGTGTCAGCCTGGACTTTCAGTGATGTAAACTAAAAACATGTATTTTTTGGATACTTAGGTCCACTAAGGTCGGTAACTGTGGCATTCTGAGCAACACGGGCCCCAGTTAGGGCCCGGTTCCAGACAGGCAGGGTAGGCCTAAGGGACGATGGTTCAGATTAGGCCCAGTTGGGCCTGGACCACGGCGGTTCAGGCAGGCCTAGGGTAGAGGCCCAGGCCAAATGGCCACAAGGCCGGTACCTGTCCAGCCTAGGACCTACCGGCGGCGTTTCAGAGGCTGCCACATTTAGGCGCCATGCCCAGTTTGAATCTGGACCGTCGATTAAGATCAACGGTCCAGGCCGGTAGGCACCAGCAGGTAGGAGGCCGGCCCAGCACTACAAAAGGCTGGGTACCAGCCTCCGTAGGTAAGAGTTAGTATGGACGAGGTTAGTCTTCAGGATTAGCGCAGCAGCCCAGCGGTAGCTCGATTAGCGCAGCGCTGCAGCACAGCGAGGAGCAGCGAGAGAGCAAGAGTTCAGCGGCGAGGAGATTAGCGCAGCATTGGGCGCAGCGCCAGTTACCGGCCCAGCCCCCCTGGCAGCGCCATAGCTACTGTGCCAGGTACCAGGGAGGAAGGCTTCACCTTCTCTCCCTCATCTCCTCCACCGTTCCTCTCTCCTCTCTCTCTCTCTCTCTCCTCCTACCCTGTCAGTCTCAGTCTACTTCTGGGTCTCTCCTACGGGACTACTACAGTATGAAGGATGGTTACGAATTCTGATAACATTTGGAACAGCGACATGGGGACTACGAGTTGAGGACTACTTGGGATCTGATTTCATCTTCCTTCTGAAGCTGTACTTGACATTGTGAGATCGATATCTGAGACATTGTGAGACTTGGCATTCGCGACATTTCAGGTTTTTGTCACTTCTGACAGTTCAAGATACTTTCTTTGGAAACATTGAGTTGACGTCATCTTCCCTCTCCTCCTCCTTTCATCTCTCTCCTCTCTCCCTTCGTCCATGGATGATTTCAGTCCCTGGCCTTTCGTCTATGTCTGAGGCCGGGGCATTCACACCCCTGATGAATGTTTGAGAGTGTTCGATTGCAGTCCGAGTCAGGTGCGAGTCAGTCCAAGGTATCTCAAGTCTTCCGCTTGCATTTGTATTAACTCTGTATTATCTGGTCGGTTCTGGAAATCTGCGCCATACTTATGACTGTGTTTCACGAGTATGCAACAGTAACTGACGACGGAATTCGGCATTAATTGCAGTCGGATAGATTCAGAAAAAGTACAGGTGTGGGCATATGGCCATATACCCTTGGCCAACCCTCCTGGGTGCGACCTACTTTCAGGTCTATCTTCACCAACCATAAAAGACCCGACTCTGAAGATTTCCGACCAATTAGCACACCGAGTTGCTGGTCAGGTTGGCGTTGGTAGCACCGTAGTCGTAACCACTGCTGTAATGGCGTTGTTACTATTGTTATTGCAAGGAAACCAGGCAGGGGAAACTCAAATCACAAGCACCATGAACTCTGTTGACCAGCACTTATTTGGTGACTCAACTGGTGGTAGACACGAAATGGCCATGATCATACGAGCGCAGGAACAGAATGTTGAAGTCACATTGTTGATGAAAAAAGCCCTCTTCTCAGATGCCAACGATCAATACAACAACAATAACAGTACTGACTCTCATCCCTTGTTGTTCTCTCTAGCAGCACCTAGGATCGCCTTGTCTATCACCTGCCCTGGCCTAAATTTACACCACAGCACAGCGTTGTAGCGCTGTGTGCTTCTCCCACCAATGCCTGCCAACGTGATGCGCTCGAGCTCTTCTTGGCATCCACCAGTTTTTAAGTCCCACACCAATTTCTTTGCCCCATGACCCCTCTTCTTCTCCCAAGCATCTCTTCTTCTAGTGCCGCCTTCCTTCTGCACGCCTTTCATTTTATACTAGAGCTGGGTGCTATTTGGCTGGTAGGCACTGCCTTCAGGAGTCTTTTGGTTTGGCCTTTTGCTACTGGGTCTGAGGCAGCCCTATTGCTTCCCTGTTTGGGCCTGATCAGGACCGCATTCCTTCTGCCCCGGCCTCAAGGCCTGCTGCTCATCTGCTGCCTGCTGAAACACTCCCATCCCGTCCCCTTGGGTTCCAACTTCTCTGAGGCACTCTTTATCCTTGCCGCCGCTGTCTTGACGTCATCCCCACCTTCCTTCCTCCAGTATATCACTGGCAGTTTTTTTTGTGAGTGCAGCACATGTTGCTATTTCTTAGCAACGCAAAACGGGGGTTGCACCCGTTTGTGCCATAGAAGGCACAAAGTGCTCGACCTAGACAAGGCACCGCCACCTCTAGCCTTTTTCCAGACATCTGGGATTCGCTTATCTTGCATCGGATCAGACGCGGAGCGTCTGCTGATTGCGTAGGGTGCAGTCTGCATCCTGCATCAGCTCCTAGGGTCCACAAGAGAGGAGTCGATGCAGACTGCACCCTAGGGTCTTGTCACAACCTAGGGTGCACTCTGCATCACCTCCTCTCTTCTGGACCATCGATCTTCACTTGGGTCTGTTTGGTATCTGAACCAAACCCTGTTTTGCAACTTGGGCCTCGTTTCTTGGCTTAGGCACCGGCATGTCGCAATGGTTGAGAGCGGAATTTAGGTCAGCATATCCATCCATAGAGGGTGGTAGCATTGATCTGTGTGAGGGGAACTGATTGTCCAGAAAGAAAGGTAACAATGTGGAGGTATGAAAGACTCGGTAAGTACGAAGGTGAGGAGGAACTTCAATGATGTAGGTAAAAAAGACTCGGTAAGTAATGATCTGGATCATGCTCTCTCTCTTCAGCATGTCGATGACTTGTATCTGTCCCTTCTGTGTGTCAAAAAGATGCCACGGTGTCTTAGTCCATAGGATTGTCTCATGGTCAAACTTCACCTCAACAGGTCTATCATGCTGGTGATAGTGCTTCAAATGTTTCAAAGCCAAATAGCCTCTATTCGAGTGCATAATACTCCTTGTCGTAGGTAGATGTTGATAGTAGTTTTGTACAAGGCAACTTTTTGGACGTGTACTCGACAGGTGCTGGCTTGTTCCGCTCTTGTTGCTGCAACACTGTGCCTATCCCATACTGGCATGGGTCGATCGCCAACAACATGAAAGGCTTGTCAGGATCGGCAATCGTCAGAGCAGGGAATGTAGTGAGACCATTCTGCAATTTTGTTTAACTTTGAAATTTGTGCAAGGAAAATGAGCAGTAGCGAAATGACAGATTCCAGATTGTGAAATAACATTGAAAGCCAGGAAGTTCCAGAAAGCAGAATTGCACCAATATTACACCAATGGAGAATCAAAACACTGAATCCGAATGTCAATGAGAGCTTACTCTCACCGTCACCAACATGAGCATCCAGGGCCCTTCCCCTACTTGGCGCTCAGCGCCCAGACTACTATCACACAGCTACTTCCAGCCTACGAATTGACAATGCAAGTGTTGACGTCAGCAGCAGCACCGAAGTACATGGAGATGTCACCCCTTGCAGACTAT